GATGTCATTAACTTTACCGTACACTTTGCTCCAAATGCATCGCTGCAGCCCTTTTCATTCAAATGTGTGTCTTTATGACCTGCTGGGTGTGTGGAGCAGCCTCCTAATTGGAAAGCCACTTTAACAGGGCATTGAAAGGGTGGAAGACGTGCGTGTGTGTGTGTGTGTGTGTGTGTGTGTGTGTGTGTGTGTGTGTGTGTGTGTGTGTGTGTGTGTGTGTGTGTGTGTGTGTGTGTGTGTGTGTGCATGGGGACACAAGGAAAACAGTTTGTGTGCATGTCATTATCTGTTCATTCATTTCCCTGTAGTTGATCATGTGAGCACTGTTAGCTGTTTGTAATTATTTTGTCTTATCTTGTTAGCTGTTTATTTAAAAGCACTCTACTGCATTCTTGTTTATCCGGAGGCTTATCACAGTGTACAACACAGTCGATGCATTTTCCTTCTTGATATGTTACATCAGAGGCCTGGGGGGTATACTACGAATCAAGATTTTCGTTTAGCAAGCTAACTTCAGGGGTTTCCGGTCCTACGAAGCTGGTTCCCTTTTTAGCGGGCTAGATAACTTATTCTGAACGGCTAGCCTCCGGAGCAGGATAGGTTCCAGGATAAAAGCACTGCCTGCTGACCAATCAGAGCACAGTGTGCGGAGTTTAAAGCGATCAATTCATATGACAGGAGGAGAAAGGAAATACAGTTTAAACTGCCGTTGCAGGAAAGACGGCCGGACAAAATCACCGACTGTGTGAACGTGGAAATTAATAGAATATCCCCTCCCATCTTCAGAGCAATCTGACTATTATAACATTAGCGTTAAGAAAGCTTACTTAAATATCTGCCACAACATAAGTAACCGGATCAAAGTAACATTACGTAGCCTACAGTCCGCGGCACTGTGAGTGCAGACGGCGATGTGTCCCATTATCATTCATATCATATCACATCATAATGTATCATATATTTCCTTATCTGAGTCAGCTGAGCCGTATCTGGCGTGCAACACTCACAGTGTCACATACTGTATGCAGAAGTATTATTTTAAGCAACACATTAAGTTGACGAAACACTTGAGTCAAATGTAATTAAAGTCAGATCCACTCGTGTCTTAGACGGGGCAGCAGTGATATCATAAAACTGTTAATGAACGCATTCAAACACTTTTTCTTTTACCAGCAGTATTCACCTTGCAGCTGCAACTATGTGGCTTTTATCCTGGATAAAGTGTTTAAGTCATGAATGTTTAAAGTTTAACGTCTTCATATTTGTCTACTATTAGTTCACTTTTCATTCAGGAAATATATGACGCGCTGCGCTGTCAGTACACGGCTTGTCCATGTTTGTGATTGGTCGAACACTCCAAATACCACCCCTTTTATGTGAACACGCACCTAACTAGATAGGACACGGCTGGCTTGAGCGATCGAGTTGATAGCCAGCGTCGTAGGACCGTTTAGTGAGAGCGGTTTCTTTTTGGATTTAGTCAACCGGATAACTCAAAACATATCCAGGATATGTTGAACTAGAATCGTAGTATACCCCCCTGTACTACGAAGCCGGATTTTCCCTTAGCCGGCTAACTTCAGGGAAAACTCGGGCTTTCCGGTCCTACGACGCTGGTTCTCTTTTTAGCGGGCTAGATCTCCATGGTAACTTATGCTGAGCGGCTAACCTCCTCGGGAGGAGGTTAGGTTGCAGGCTAAGAGATCAACTCAGTGAAAGCACCGCCTGCTGACCAATCAGAGCTCTGTGTGCGGAGTTTAAAGCTATCAAGTCATATTACAGGATAGAGGAAATACAGAAAAACTGCCGTTGCAGGAAAGACGGCCGGCAAAAATCAACTGACTGTGTGAACGTGAAAATTAATAGAATATCCCCTCCCATCTTCAGAGCAATCTGACTATTATAACATTAGCGTTAAGAAAGCTTACTTAAATATCTGCCACGACATAAGTAACCGGATCAGAGTAACATTAAGTACAGTCCGCGGCACTGTGAGTGCAGACGTCGATGTGTCCCATTATCATTCATATCATATCACATCATAATGTATCATATATTTCCTTATCTGAGTCAGCTTCTTGAGCCGTATCTGGCCGTGCAACACTCACAGTGTCACATACTGTATGCAGAAGTATTATTTTAAGCAACACATTAAGTTGACGAAACACTCGAGTCAAATTCTCCTAATTAAAGTCAGATCCACTCGTGTCTTGGACGGGGCAGTGATTTCATAAACCTGTTAATGTACGCATTCAAACGCTTTTTCTTTTACCAGCTGTATTCACCTTGCAGGTGCAGCTATGTGGCTTTTATCCTGGATAAAGTGTTTAAGTCATGGATGTTTAAAGTTTAACTTCTTCATATTTGACTAATATTAAAGTTCACTTTTCATTCAGGAAGTATGACGCTGTGCTGTCAGTACGATTGTCCATGTTTGAGATTGGTCGAATGCTCCAAATACCACCCCTTTCATGTGAACGCGCACCTAACTAGATAGGAC